GAATTTTGTGACCACAGTTGCAAACAGCCTCCAGAGATCCTGTTCTACACCAGACCAGTGGAGCCAAACTGCAGCCCATCATCATCCTCATCTGTTGTAAGTAGGCAATCTAGTATATTATTAGTGACACTAATCTATAATGTACCTCACATTAAAGGGACACTATAGCTTAATGAAGTGGTTCTGGTGTCTATAGCTGGTCCCTGCAGGCTTTTTAATGTAAACACACACTGTGTGCAGCACTGGCGTTAGTTCATATGGCAGACCATATAGGTGGGGCATTGTGATGTGACATGTGGGGGCAGCAAATTTTTATTTTGTCTAGGGCGGCAAAAATCCTTGCAGGGAGGGAGCTGCGTGAGCTGCGCTGGCTCTGCTCCCCAGCACGCAGCTGAATGAGACTGGCGCCGGAATATGACGTCATATTCCGGCGCCAGTCTCATTCAGCAGCGCGCGAGGGCGGGAGGGCACTAACACGGGAAGCACCTCTAGTGACCGTCTGAGTGACTGTCACTAGCAGTGTCACTTTGAAGCAATGTAAACACTGCCTTTTGTCTGAAAAGTCAGTGTTTACGTTGAAAAGCCTGTAGTGACATGCTATAGACACCAGTACCACCACATTAAGCTGTGTGTGTGCGTCTGCTAGTGAGTGAGCTTGCTTGCATGCGTGTGCCTGCTAGTGAGTGAGCTTGTGTTTATATGTCAATGAGCTGATGTATATCAGTAAGATTGTTTGTCTATGAGGCTGTGTATCAATGAGCTTGTGTGTGTCACTGAAATGTCAGTGAAATTGCCTGTGTCTGCATGTGCGTATGCTTACTGTATAATTAAACGTTTTACCCTGAAAGGACCAATATTTTATATTAGAAAAGGCTATATATATATATATATATATATATATATATATATATATATATATTACTCAATCATCTGTCCTGGCAAGACATAGCCTTACATATTACACGCGACAATATATGGCGGAGTGACTTATGGGGTTGGCACAAATTTTTTTTCCAGGGCTGCTTTGTATCCCCAGTCCGGCCCTGTAAGTAGCTACCACAAAAGACTGGGCATACAACATTTTGAATACCTTGGGTTATTTACATTTGAAAATGGTATGCCATGATGGGGTTAATTCACATTCCTGGGCTATCATATAGACTCAAAGGCAACGAAACCAACTTGGCAATTTTCAGTGTAAAAATATTTGACCCTTATATTTGTCCCTGTAACTTTCAAAAACACTATAAAACCTGTACATTGGGGGTACTGTTATACTCATGAGACTTTGCTGGACACAAATATTAGTGTTTCTAAACAGTAAAATGTGTCATGACGATGAAATCACAAGTAAAAGCGCAGAGTTTGTGTAAAAAAATGCAAAAACGAAATATGAACGCTAACTTTGGCAAGTGTTTGTGGCTAAGTGGCTACTACAAAAGACTGGACATACCCAATTTTGAATACCCTGGGTTGTCTACTTTTTCAAAGGGTATGTTATGGGGGGGGGTTAATTTTAATTTCTGGGCTGCCATACCGTCTCAAAGGCAACATAGCCAATCTGGCAAATAGCAATTTACAAAAACAGAAATGGGCAAATCTTATGTTTGACCGTAACTTTCCAAATCACCATAAAACCTGTATATGAGAGGTACTGATGTACTTGGGAGACATTACTTTACACAAATATGAGTGTTTTAGAGCAGTAAAATGTATTATACTGATAATATCATCAATGAAATGGCAGTTTATGTGCGAAAAATGCAAAAAAGCCAACAAATATAAATGCTAATTTTGGCCAGGGTTTGTGACTACGTTGCTACTAAAAAAGACTAGACATACCCAATTTTTAATACCGTGGGTTGTCTACTTTTACAAATGGTATACCATAATGGAGTTATTTTCATTCCTGGGCTGCCATACGGCCTCAAAGGAACTTACGCCCAGCAAACCAATCTGGCAAATTTCAATGTGCAAACATGGAAAAGGGGAAAGCCCTACATTTGACCCCTGTAAGTTTGCAAAAACACATAAAAACTGTACTTTGGGGGCACTGTTGTACACTGTTGCTGAACACATATTTGGGTGTTCTTTGTCAGCAACACATAACAGGAACGGAGAATATATGCCTAAATGACTACCCAAATGTTTGACAAAGACTGGTGGTAGAATTAGTGCATGGAAAGTGTTAAAATACCACCATTTGAAATACCCTAGTGTGTCTACTTTTCAAAAAATATGTGGTTTGATGGGGGCAAATTACATTGGCTGGCTTCACAAATGTCCCAAATAGGACATGGGTGCGGTGCATGATGACCAGCTGTGAAAATTCCAAGTTGGAAAACTGGAATGTGCACCCTCTAAATAAGGTCTTTTAGTTGCCAGAGAATCTGACACAGCTATACATGGGTGGTATCTCTGTACTCAGGAGATGTTGCTGAACACATATTGGGGTGTTCTTTGGCAGTAACCCTTAAAGTTCTCCGTACATGTATTCTTAAATTGCTATGTGTGTCAAAGAAATCACCAATTTTTTTTTTTAATTGATTGTAAAATGGTTGTATGAAAATAGTCAAAATACTCCAAGTTTAATACCTTAGGTTGTCTTCTTTAAAAAAAAAAAATGTATACATGTGAAGGGTTATTCAGGGATTCCTAACAGATATCAGTGTTACAATGTAACTTTTGTTCATTTTGAAAAAAAATGGTTTGGAAATAGCAAAGTGCTACTTGTACTTATTGCCCTATAACTTTCCAAAAAAAGCCAAGAACATTTTAAAGGAGCACTATAGGGTCAGGAACACAAACATGTATTTCTGACCCTAGAGGGTTAAAACCACCATCTAGCCCCCCTGTCTCCCTCATGCCTCCCTAAATATAGTAAAATCTTACTTGTATTCAAGCCTGAAGCTGCTGGTTATGTCATTGTTTCCTTTAGACCTGCCCACTGCCTGCTGACATAAGCTGAAGTGGTAGCCTGATCCAATCACTGTGCTTCCCCATAGGATTGGCTGAGACGGACAAAGAGGCAGATCAGGGACAGAGCCAGCACAATTCAAACACAGCCATGGCCAATCAGCATCTCCTCATAGAGATGAATTGAATCAATGAATCTCTATCTGACTAT